TCAACACAGTTGTCACTGACTAGTTGGATATTCATGTCCCACTGAGCAAACAATTTCTGTACTTACCGCATTCTTATTATCAGGTTTTTGCTTGGCAGACATTTGTCAATAAAACTCATGAATGCAACTGTTTATGTCAAATTATTTTGTGTTCTACTTGTAGCACTGGATGTCCTGAAAATAAAATGGAAAAACACTTCAAAGTGAGGCTAAACTAGGACTGACAGTCTCTCTCTCTCCCTCCGAAACATTTGTTTACATTGCCAAAGCAAGTGGAATAGATAAAGTGAAATAAACAAACAATTAACAGTAAACATTACACTCACAAAAGTTCCAAAAGAATAAAGACATTTCAAAATGTCATATTATGTCTATATACAGTGTTATAATGATGAAGTACAAAACCTGGTTGCCCTTTTCTTGTGGCAACAGGTCACAAATCTTGCTGCTGTGATTGCACACTGTGGTATTTCACCCAATAGATATGGGAGTTTATCCAAACTGGATTTGTTTTTCGATTTCTTTGTTGGTCTGTGTAATCTGAGGGAAGTATGTGTCTCTAATAAGGTCATCCATTTGGCAGGAAGTTAGGAAGTGCAGCTCAGTTACCACCTCATTTTGTGGGAAGTGTGCACATAGCCTGTTTCCTCTTGAGAGCCAGGTCTGCCTACGGTGGCCTTTCTCAATAGCAAGGCTATGCTCACAGTCTGTACATAGTCAAAGCTTTCCTTAAGTTTGGGTCAGTCACAGTGGTCAGGTATTCTGCCACTGTGTACTCTCTGTTTAAGGCCAAATAGCATCCTAGTTTGCTCTGTTTTTATGTAAATTCTTTCCAATGTGTCAAGTAATTATATATTTTTGTTTTCTCATGATTTGGTTTTGTCTAATTGTGTTGCTGTCCTGGGGCTCTGTGGGGTCTGTTTGTATTTGTTAACAGAGCCCCAGGACCATCTTGCTTAGGGGACTCTTCTCCAGGTTCATCTCTCTGTAGGTGATGGGTTTGTTATGGAAGGTTTGGGAATCGCTTCCTTTTAGGTGGTTGTAGAATTTAAAAATAGCTCTTTTCTGGATTTTGATAATTAGCAGGTATCGGCCTAATTCTGCTATGCATGAATATTTTTGGTGTTTTACGTTGTAAACAGAGGATATTTTCTGCAGAATTCTGCATGTAGAGTCTCAATTTGGTGTTTGTCCCATTTTGTGAATTCTTGGTTGGTGAGCGGACCACAGACCTCACAACCATATTTTTAGCCAGATCCTAATTGTTATGTCAAAGTTTATGTTCCTTTTGATGGCATAGAAGGCCCTTCTTGCCTTGTCTCGCAGATCGTTCACAGCTTTGTGGAAGTTACCTGTGGCGCTGATGTTTAGGCCGAGGTATGTATAGTTTTTTGTGTGCTCTAGGGCAATGGTGTCTAGATGGAATTTGTATTTGTGGTCCTGGCAACTGGCCCTTTTTTTGGAACACCATTATTTTTGTCTTACTGAGATTTACTGTCAGGGCCCAGGTCTGACAGAATATGTGCAGAAGATCTACAGTTGAAGTCAAAAGTTTACATACACTTAGGTTGGAGTCATTAAAACTCATTTTTCAACCACTCCACAAATGTCTTGTTAACAAACTATAGTTTTAGCAAGTCGGTTAGGACATCTACTTTGTGCATGACATAAGTGATTTTTCCAACAATTGTTTACAGACAGATTATTTCACATACACTAAGTTGACTATGCCTTTAAAGAGCTTGGAAAATTCCAGAAAATTATGTCATGGCTTTAGAAGCTTCTGATAGGCTAATTGACAGTGTACCTGTGGATGTATTTGAAGGCCTACCTTGAAACTCAGTGCCTCTTTGCTTCCAAGACCTCAGAAAAAAGAGTGTAGACCTCCACAAGGCTCTCTCTCTCTCTCTCTGAGGGACCAGCCTTGATTTGGCCCAAAAATAGACATCCATAGTTGGTGACCAGATCAAATCGGAATGAATCATAGACATCTGTGTTTTTTTACAAGTTTGGACAGCACAGTTCAGTGCTCTACACTTACCAGACACTCTTATCCAAAGAGCAATTAGGGTTAAGTGCATTGCTCAAAGGCACATCAACATATTTTTCACATAGTCAGCTCTGGGATTCAAACCAGCAACCTTTCAGTTACTGTCCCAACGCTCTTAACCGCTAGGCTACCGGCTAACTGCCGCCTCTACCGTGATGTCCAAACTTGTTAAACATAGACATCTATGGTTGGTTCAGGTTGGTCCGGTTTGCATATTGTATATTTCTTCCTTTGTGTACCTATTCAAGACACATCACCATGAACAGAATGACATTCATATCCACAATTATGCATTTCTGTGTAGTACAGATCAGGGACCCATGACGTAATTCTGTTACCGGGTGTAAATCCACTTCACTTACTGTAGTTGCCCTAAACACACACACACACACACACACACCCCAATCTCCATCCCCTCCTTATCATATGACCTCAACTCTGTAGTGAACGGACCTCATTTAGTAGCCTCATCTGTCATTTTAGATAATTCGATGGCAACATTAGTATTTTAGCCCATTAAGGGCCATTGATGATTCAAAGCAAGGCATATTTGGTTAAGCTCCAATGGGCTTACTCTCCATTACACTAACAGCCATAAATTAGCATTACTTTCATGCATGCCACTATTCTGGTCTTAATTATTCTATTATTATTATTATTATTATTATTATTAAGTCCCCTGTGACTCAGTTGGTATAGCATGGCGCTTGCAATGCCAGGGTTGGGGGGGGTTCAATTCCCATGAGGGATCAGTATTAAAAAAAATTACAAAAATAACTGCACTAAGAGCATCTGCTAAATTACTAAAAATAACACAATGACTTCATATGCTCATTTTCATAATAGTCCCAAGATAGCTGCACACAAATGATGCATGGTGAAGTGTCCAGGGATTGCATTCAGCCAACACATTATCTTCTTTTTACAGAGAATGATAGGGAAAATGTTCCTTCTGGAAAGGCTGAAGAACAACAATAAGATAATTGCGTAATGAGACTTCTGCATTGAATGCAATCCCCACAAGTAATGGTAATGGCTGTATGACACTGTAACCACTTGATTGAACCCCAGAATAAATAGATTGCAACCAATATTTCAGTGTCATCTTTCTGGAACAGTTGTTTTCTTGTCATCATCAACAACAAACATTAAATTGGCATAGCTTGGCAAAAACAGGTGTAAAATGTGAAATTTGGTGATAGTTGCTAGACTACGGCCTACATTCTACATTTTGTTTCACTGTCCAATCTAAAGTTTAACGCCACACCCCGGACCTCTTCTTTCATCTCTAGGCTGCAAGCAAGACCATGCTTGAGGAGGCTATCATTTTATAAATATTTCCTCCAAACTTCTCCAGGTGGAACGAGTTTAGCCTATAATGCTCATCATCACCTATTGCCTAGCAGTACGCAACATTGTGATCAAATTGCTTGATCCAATGAATGTAGCCTTCAGAGGCTACACTGTAACTTTGACTCACGTGCAATTTGAGTGGCGGTACAATGTTGCACTACAGTTAACCATGAACCCAAAAGAATAGCAATGCTTTGTGTTTTCTTACCATCTTCCTTTTCATCGTAGACAGGTCTCTTAGAAGAACTATTCGCGCCCATCCTCTTCTTCCACTTGCCCCAGTGAAACATTGATGCGCGAGCTCAGATAGCATTCCTCGCCGGTTAAAAAACTACAGCTCTGTGTTGGACACGTTGAATCGCTCCCTCTGTTATTGTTTGTCCCAAAAAAAAAATCGCGCATTTACGCACTGCGACTTTGCCTCACTAAAACAATAAAGACGAGAGATTAGATCAGATAGTGAGCCTCACTACTGTATTGCAAAGAAAAACAATCGGCTTTCCTATTTTTCTCTTCTGTCCTCAACTGACTTATGTTCGCGGAGCTGTGTGTGACAGTTCGCCTCTAGTCGACGTTGAGTCTCTCTGTCATGCATGTCAAGAACCCAGCCTCTCTACAGCTCTCGTGCTAGCAGCTAGACCTTAAGAGCATTTTCAATACTATAGGAAGTGCTGCTGTATATTACCTAACGGGATACAGTCATTGCGAAAATGCGAATCTAATTAGGAAAAGGGTGGCGCCAGTTCATTGAAAATGGGGTTAACACTTTACTTCCCTGACCTTAGAATAGGCTACATCATTAACAGACGTGATATTCTTCATCATGGCATACAGTGGAAATTGGATAGGTCTAGATTTCTGTAAAAAATAAATAAAAAAAAGAGCAGAAAATGATTTTGCTTTGCAACAAAGTAGCACTTTTGGCGAAAGCATAATTGTACGCACTGTTTGAATATTGATACGCACGGTAGTTAATGTTGTCCTGCCACCATGGTTACCATGGTAATAGTTGATCACACGACTAGCCGGTTAACTACTAGCTAGCTAGGTAAATAAACTTCCAAGCTAATGCACCTACAAAAGTTAAATTAATTTACTTCAGCTTGTTGATAATTCTGTAATTCATGCGTTCTTATACATTTCAGTGATTGCTTGGTTTAGGATGAACGTTAGCGAGCTAACAGTTATGGTAACGTTAGCTATATGCATAAGCTAACTAACGTTAGCCTACGTTTTATATGTTGCATGTCTGAAATATTCCATGTGTACAAAGTAGCTAACATAGCTATAGCTAACAGTTGTTCACATTTCAGTATCATGAGTTAACTTTTAGTTGATATGTGTATCCAACAATGGGTGTCTATGCTGGTTAACGTTACATCAATATCTGGTCGAGAGTTTTTACACATTCAATGATTCATTGCTCCCAAAGGGCCAGGACATTAATTGGACTATCACTGTATTTAACAGGAAGATTAGTTTCATGACCGACATATTTTTCTTGTTTCTTGCTCTAGCCATCATGGGCATTGACAATCTGATTTCAAGATGACACTTTGATGACTAACCAACCAAATGAGATAACAGCACAGCAGCAATGTCTTCCGTAGAAAATGAAATTACTGACCTTCATTTAAGCCTTGATTGTGGTGATAATGCTGGTAAAACACATACCCCGCACATTCTACCAGAGTGTGTTGGACCTATGCAGATCACTGAATATGTCACATCTGACACCCTATATTTAAGCAGAAGAAACTTAAAATATGTTGTGGATTGCATTTTGAAGAATACTACTTTAAAGGTAGGTCAAGCAGATGATTCTGATGCTCTCATTTTCAAGAATATGCTTTGTTATTCAGAGCTGACTGTATCCTCTCTAACTGTATCTTCCTGTTGTTTTAAGAATTTGTATCTTGAAGGTAATGAAATATCCATGCTTCCGGATACGCTGTTCACCAGTTTGTCAAACTTGGTGTGGTTAGATCTCAGAAATAACCAAATCACATCCCTTCCTGCGGAAATTGGTCTACACAGGTATTGTAGGCTAGTTTGTATTGGCTTATCAACCAAAATATCTGTAGATGTGCTGTGGATTTTAATGGATTCATTTATTAATTGGTTGATGCAGATGTCTGAAAACGGTGCTGCTAGAAGGCAATCCTATCACAGAGCTTCCACTGGAATTGGGTGGGTTGAACTCTGTCACCTTGTTTCTATTATCCTTTACACAAGAACATCATTGCATTTTATCAAGTCTTCAGTGACTTTTACAGTATTTTGGGATAGGCTGCATGTCCCTCTCAGGATGCTTGGACTTCATTTCCTTTACTTGAAGAGTGGGTGTGACATGTTGTTTATTCCCATCTTATTCTTCAGTGACCCATCTCCAGCTGTGAACTGCATTAGGATTTCTGACATATGTGTTTGTACTTCTCAGGTAACGTGATTACTCTCAAGGCCCTGAGTTTGAGGCATTGCCCCATCACGTTTCCGCCTCAAGAGGTTGTGCAGCAGGGCCTCCAATGCATCCTCCAGTACCTACGGAGTGCCATGGCCGAACGACCGGTTAGTGTGCGGAACTCTCTTCCAGGTGAATGATATCGATAACTGTAGTGTCACCTAATGAAGTTGAACAATGTGACGGCAAGGTGCTTGTGTGGTGTCCGCCCTTCTGTCCACCGCCATCTGTTCTTTTGTATAAGAAAGAAAGGCTGGCCACCAAAATAGCTCCTTGCCCTTGTTCCACTTCAGTGGTGTGACTTCTGTTCCCTTGGAGACGGCGCATGCAGCAGGCAGACTTTTTGTGTAGCTCTACCCAGTAATATTTTTAGCCAGATTAAAATGACCGATAACCAGAGGCGCTTTGTCATCAACCACTGTCTAGTAGTGCCTATGGGTAATCAGCATGACTAGCCAAGTCACCCCTCAGCAGAAAGCCTACATCTAGAACAAAGGTGCCCTGTTGTATCTTTATATATATATATATATATATATATATATATATATATATATATATATATATTATACTATTAAAAAAGAGGATCAAGGCTCACTGTTTCTCTGGAAAAGTAATTGAATCTTGATGGATATTATGTTGTCACTGCCAGGGCAATATGCCAGCATTCAGATCATGTCATACCAGATTTCATCATGTTAGTTCATGAATGAGAGGACATGCTTACTATGGGCTCATTACAGCTTCAACTTGACATCTAGTATTCACTAAAACATTTATTTCAGCATAGATGCAAAGGATCCAAAAGAGGACAATTGTTTATATAGGAAGTGACAGAAATGTGATTATTTTGCTACCATAATCATTTTCATGGAAAGTTGTTGTTGATGTTTTGGTGGCAGACATGCCCCCAGTGGAGAAGCTACAGTTGACAGAGCTTGTGAAGTCCAGTTTGGACCTTTGTGAAGAGGTGGTGGATGAAGACGAGCTGCAGAGGTTCAGAGAGCTGAGGCAGAAGATGATACAAATGGACAGAGCTGAGTTTGGCTTTGCCCTCCCTATTTCACGTCTCCCTAGAGCAGCAGAGGGCGATAGAGGCCACAATACATACCCCCTGCCCATCATTAAAAGGTAAATTTAAAAAGGTTTGTCCTCTGGTAAAGTTATGGGAGTAATGACAGGCGTCTGGTAACTGCATATCTAGGGGAAACTCAGTAGTCTACAGTGTCCTCTCCTTATTTGAACTGCCTAACTCTTTAACCAGACTGACCACTATACTCAGCACAGTGGGCAGTATGGTTTACGAGGCTAGCAATGATAGGTGTAAGCAATATGGTGGATGCCTTCTCTGAGGAATTAAATGCAGTGAATTGCAGTGAAGGAAAGGTGACAAGGAGAGGGAGCCACTGTAGACTAATAGGCTATTGAGATGGAAAATACTGCATGGACAGTCAAAGTATATTTTTATGACAGTCTCTGAGGAGGAGGCCTAGCGATAAAATCTCCCAGGCTCTGCAGGGACACGGTCCTTCTGAGAGCAATAAAAATAAAACATTTTATTTCGATTTATTTGTCAGAAAGAAAGAGATTACCAGGGGAAATATATTTCCCGAGCTCCCTCCCTTTGACATGCAGTACTGCAAGAGGTCAGAGGAGAGAAGACTGGCTGCAATGAAAGAGCTTAAAGAAAAACAAGCCATTCTTGAACAAAGGAGGAAGTAAGTAAGTTATTACTGTTGGATTTTATAGAACCCAACAGAATTATCTCGCATCAGTAGGCTATACTGCTGACCCCCTACTGCGTTTGTGGCCTTTTGAATCACATTAATTACATACAGTATTTAGTTGCGAACTATGTTATACCAGGGGTGAGAGAGAATTGTCTCTCTACTTGCAGTTTCAGAAAGCAGGGGTGTATTGTGTCAAATTGGCATTTGATGAAGTCCCAGAAAGGGAGGGATCAATATTATGTGTCTGCAAAAGCCAATGACAATGCCAATAAGGGGTAGGTAAAGAAATCCAGCAAGATCTAAGATGAGCTTATCCGACCCCAATCCTAACCTAAACAAAATAAAAGCGAACTTAGATCAGTGTTTATGGGGTACTTGATTCCTCACAGTGCTTTATATGGCCCTGCCCTTCTTTTCCCTTAGAGACCAAGAGCTCCTTAAGGAATGGCGTACTCATGCTAGGGTCATGCAGGAGAGGAAAATCTTAGAGCACAAGCAGGAAAGGCGTGAGAGACATAGAAGAGAAGAGGTATGTCTGTTCTGTATGTCTGCTTTCACTCCCATTCTAGTTTTGGAATATACTATTTTGTTCACTTACAGAACCGAAAGCATTTTTCTGATTAAAATTTCTCCCTTTCCAATGACCAGAGGAGGGCAGCATAACACCATCCTGAGTAAAGGTTTTCACAGTCATTGGAAAGGGAGAAAATTAGAATTAGTAAAATGCTTTCAGTTATGTTCTTGTTATAAGGAAACTATCTGAGAGAAGTTAGAGTAGAGTAGAAAGAGAGAGACTGACTGGAGTCCTTGTTTCCATTCTGGATGAGCAGACGTTGAAAAAGATAGTGTCAGGCTGTGCAGACACTCAGCTGAGGCTGTCCAGGTCAGAGGCAGCGACAGGCCTAGCTAATGATGGATCACTGTGCCTCCAGTGTGCCGAGTCAGTCATCCTGCAGTCAGATGTCTCCAGCGAGGCTGCACCACAGCTGGTAAACACACCCCTTCCACAGAACGCTAGCACACACACAGTCAGATACACACCGACACAGCAGCAGACTAGACTGCGTGGCCGCACACAACTCCATCACCATTATTAAGTTTGCAGACGACACGACGGTGGTAGGCCTGATCACCGACAACGATGAGACGGTCTACAGGGAGGAGGTCAGAGACCTGGCAGTGTGGTGCCAGGACAACAACCTCTCCCTCAACATCAGCAAGACAAAGGAACTGATCGTGGACTACAGGAAACAGAGGGCTGAGCATGCCCCCATCCACATCGACGGGTCTGTAGTAGAGCAGGTCGAGAGCTTCAAGTTCCTCTGTGTCCACATCACTAAGGAATTATCATGGTCCACACACACCAACACAGTCGTGAAGAGGGCACAACAATGCCTCTTCCCCCTCAGGAGGCTGAAAAGATTTGGCATGGACCCTCAGATCCTCAAAAAGTTATACAGCTGTACCATTGAGAGCATCTTGACTGGCTGCATCACCGCCTGGTGTGGCAACTGCTTGGCATCCGAGCGTAAGGCGCTACAGAGGGTAGTGCATACAGCCCAGTACATCACTGGGGCCCAGCTTCCTGCCATCCAGGACCTCTATAGCAGGCGGTGTCAGAGGAAGGCCCTAATAATTGTCAAAGACTCCAGCCACCCAAGTCATAGACTGTTCTCTCTGCTACAGCACGGCAAGCGGTACCGGTGTATCAAGTCTGGAACCAACAGGACCCTGAACAGCTTCTACCCCCTAGCCATAAGACTGCTAAATAGTTAGTCCGGGTAGCTATTGGTTAACTATTTAACTATCTGCATTGACCCTTTTTGCACTAACTCTTTTGACTCATCACATATGGCACTGTTAATTATATATCCTTTTGCCTAGTCACTTTATCCCTACCTATATGTACATATCTACTTCAATTACATCGTACCCCTGCATATCGACTCGATACTGGTACCCCATGTATATAGTGAAGTTATTGTTACGCATTGTGTATTTATTCCTCGTGTTATTATTTTTATATTATTACAAATATATATATATATATATATCTCTGCATTGTTGGGAAGGGCCCTTAAGTAAGCATTTCACTGTAGTCTACACCTGTTGTTTATGAAGCATGTGACAAATACAATTTCATTTGATTTGATGATTTGACATAAGCAAGCGTAACATCATGATGAACATTAGGTCCCACTCCCACCACAAACCACAAGGTACCAGAACCAGGGTATACTGCTAACCTGGCACTCAGAGCAACCCATAGCTGTATATATAATAGCTAACCTCTTCAGCAATGCGCCAGGATAGTAGTAGTCAATCTGTGTCACTGATAGACCTTTCATCCATCCTTAACTTACTATAAGTTCACAGTTTCGGTTAGATGAATAAAAGACCAGCTTTCTATAGAAATTAATATATTGTTTTGTTACAGGTACCTATAAAAGCTCCATATGCCACAGAGGCTCTGTGTAGTGTTGCTGAAAGTGGTGAGGTCAAGACCCATAAACCCCCACCAAAGAGGATCCAGAGACAGAGATCGTTCCTGTCCCAGAAGGAACACGAGGAAGCCAGGTATGATGTAGCTATGATGTGTCTATCAATGGATACACTGTTGCCACTGAGCTACTAACAGTAGCCACCAACGGAAGCAATGGCAGATCAATCAAAGCATTGGCAGCTAAGAGCTGAATTGCAGTCCATCTAAATAAATAACAAAATAATGAAATCAATCAATCATGTGAAATCGTGTGATAAATGTATGTGTGGAGGGAGGGAGCATTGGTCGGTCACAGCCAGGTGAAAGCCTCAGGAGTCTTGATCAGGGACAGGGTCAGACAGGTCTGGACTCAGAGCTACTGGTCTCTGTAGTCTGTAGCTTGCCAGCTACTCCTCCGCCACCACCAACATGCAGCACCCACAACGGTATGTAACTAAGAGAATCATTAGTTTGTGGAATGGTGGTTCATTTTACCCTTGACCTGTGTGACCCCAGGGAAGCCCGCGACCGGGAGTTAGAGCAGCGGATCAGCAGCCATGTTCAGATGGTCCAGGAGAGACGCAGGAGGCCCAGTGGCACTGCCCAAGAGGAGACAGAAGCTGCAAGGCAGGACATGGAGGAAGTATGTTACTCTTCTACTGTATATCAAGCAACCAGTCAAGTCATTTTCAGTGCTCAATGACAGAAGCCCCAGGAATTGAATGAAAATCTGGGTGTTTCTTTCATTGTCGTTTTCTTCCATTGCTTCTGTTTCAGGCCAAGAGGTTGCAGTCAGAACTTGCTAAGAGAAAACAGGAGAGAGACATCGAGTATCGATTCATCGCATTTACTGGGGAGAACTCACCAAGATGCTATGACAAGTGAAAGTATTTTTGGGTGTGTAGGCCTACTGCCATTTTGAATTGTTGCCGTATTAAATTAATCGACATTTTATGCAAAGTAGTACAGGACAGGGTAGTATGGAATTATAGCACTCTACAAACAGTTTACTCAATCACAATGGTATCCAATACCCTTTCATCAATAAACATTTCAGCCTGTTACTTGACCACCGTGAAGTGTTCTTAATTTGCCCACAGTATGGTGCTATACCCTGCTCCTCTGTCTCTCTCTCACACACACACGCACATCATTAGTAAAGTGTAAAGCGCTTGTGTTCCAAGATAAACAAACCCTCATTCATCAAGTCAATCAGTGCTATTTAGCAGCCTAATAGTTCACTGTATTTCAGGTCCTTGCAACTGTACAGTAGCTATACAGTGATTGATCATGTATACTTATTTGACTGTATGTATGCCTATAGCCTAAATTCAGTGCTTGACTTTGACAGCAATAGGTTCCGGTACTCATTTTGGGTGACGGTACTGTTTATATTTAGGTGCAGGAGCTCCACAATACTTTTGAGCTAATATTCTATAAGAGGAACAGGAGCTCAAGCAGAGCTCCTGCCCAAGTCAAGCACTGCCTAAATTACTTATAGATACTGTTGGCTTGGATACAGACAGTAAAGATGGGGGTGATTCATGTAAGCCAGGGAAGTTTGAGGGAAGCCTATATTTAATTGGGAATGGCACGATGAAAATGGCCTTGAACAGAAGATCATGTTAAAAGAGAAGATACAAAGAAATACGAAGAAATCATGCATTCCTCATTCCTAGATGGGTGGATGTATTGTCTGCAAATCAGCAGAGCAGAAGGCTATTATTAGCTAGATAATAACTAATAATAATGAAATACAGTTTTGAAATTGAGTCTACATGAGCCAACAATAAACTGAAAGCCGAATGTTATAATTGCAAGCAAGACAGGGGCAACCTCAAAATATTTTTCTCATCTGTCTTTGTGTTATGCCACCAGTAGCAGAACTGTTGTAATTGACTTGATGGGGGTGGGGGGAAAAAGAAGAAAAAAAAAGACTTGGAGGGGGTGATGGCGTCATTTCGTGCACTGGTGTAGCCTCCCGTGCACGAAAGTAGAAGGGAGTAGCATCTTTAGCAGAGGCGATCGTGGCTCCCGCGGCCGGGATCGAGTACCGCCAAGCCGGACACCTCACGCCGGAAAATATGGAGGCTGTGGCCGAGGAGCTGCGGGCCGGCTCTCGGATTCCTGTCACTGTTGATCAAATAGTTAACGATACGCTAGTGGTGACGCTTACCTATCAAGAAAGGAGCTACATGGGGATATTACTCGATTGCAATAAAAAGTGAGTCTTATTTCTTCGAATTTTCTACATTAATCACAAAGTAATTAGCTAGTTAGCGTGCTAATGTTTGCTGGCTAATCTAGCATGCTAACTAGCTAGCTACATGGACCATCATACAAAAGACTCCAATGGGGTTGTAGCTAGCTTGCTAGTTAACGTTAGCACTTTTACAGCGAACATATTAATAGCATAAAAACAAGTGTATCATTAATATGACGTTTGGATAAAGCCACCACCCTGTGAAAGTAACATGTGATGGGCATTTTAACAAAAGTTATGCCTACGTGGGTACCTAACGTTACCTCATTGTTAGCTTAGCTAACGTTATCAAGCTAGTTCAATGATGGCTAGATTTAGACTGCCAACAGTGGATCCCAGCTATGGCAGGCCTTACTGAAACACCCGTTCTCATATTAGACTTGTGTACATGCTTTCTTATAATTCATCTAGCTACCTATCTAGTAATGATTACATGAACGTTACATGTTTTAATACTAACTATGCAAAGTGATGGGCATCACATCATAATTTAGCCTACTCCTGTCCTTGTGCTTTTAGTAATGTAGGCCTATGTTAAACACAGTCATCCAATTTTACCCTTAGCTAATGATACAATTAGTGTAGGCCTATTTATAAATGATTGACCTGAAACTCTAAATAAGAGATTATACAGCTGTGTTATGCTGTTAAAGATGGCACTAATTGTCGAGTTACCAAGGAAATTAGACTCCAGAAAAACTAGGCTATAGGTCTACTTTGTACTTGACAAAGGGTGAACTATATAATGTTGGCAAGAAATCCCATTTAGGGTGTTAACAATAGATGTAAAGTATAACATGTTATTTGAATGATTGGTATTCATATGGGGCATGTTATCTGGCTCGCAGTGTGTCACCTGTACTGGTCTTGTGTTGCACTAGTATGCGCTAATACAGTGCAGTGAGTGCACCTTTTTTTTAAATGCCACTGGGTTTATTTATTTATAGATTCAGAATCTTACCAGCTTTTCATATCGGTAGGCCTTCACTGAGACATGTAGGCCTACACGTTCACGTGATAGATCACTCCAAATGCCCTGAGATTGACCTTCCCCAGTGGAAAGATCTAGGCTTAAACAAAGAACAGTGGTTTGGCATACAGGCCTATTTTTCCTTGTGAATGTCAAAATGTGAGTTCTTCCTTTAGGTTTATAGAAATGCATTTCCCTTCATTGTGTGTCTCCAGTTTCCATGTCATGTATCATTTGTGCAGGATCTCTTTATTTGGTTGTAGTGTATGTACAGCATTATATGTTAAATGGGAACAGTGTTTGAGTCATGGCCGGTTAACCACTATGTCCTTGCACACAGCCTTGGCCAGGAATTTCTGTACTGCCTGTGTCCATCATAGTGACGGCTGAGATTTTGTTGCTCACGAAGGGCCTTTAGTAAAGGTCTCCTCCAAAGCACCGGAAACGGGCTTCGCCAGGCCTCTTTATTTAAATGTGCCAATAGCCGCTCATGGGGAAATGCCTTTCGGGCTTCCTAAATGTGCTTTAATTAATAATCTCATAACACACAAGCACCCAGCAGACACTGATGTGAAAACAAGTGAATCTCCTGGCTCTCTCTGGGTCCCGAGTGATTCATGTGGTTGTTTTTGTTCAGTCAGATGGAGTGGAGGGGGGCTACTGGGTATCCTGTAGTCTCTTTGTCTGCAGTCTCTGACAGCAGAGCACAGCCATGTTGTTGCTGCTGCTGCGTTGGCTGCTCACAGCTACCTTTCTATATGGCTCCTTAGAGAAGCCCGGCTTGGACACGTCACGTCACAGGCATGAAAATAAACATGAATTTACAGAGAGAACACACACTCCAGCTCTTTCAGTTTGTAGCGCAAGGCTGTAGGGGTAGGGTATAGGCTAGCTAGACAACGACCTGCTTGCTTGCTGTCTCCCAACCCCCACTCCAGTAGAATACCCAACACAGGGGATTAATGTGCTGTCTTTTACACAACCTGAAGTGTTGCAACCATAAGAGCTTTCATAAGTGCGCCGACAGGGTCAAAGGAGTGCATTTGTTGCACTTCGATTTTGTCGAGTTAATGTTCTTGACCTGAACAGGAACTTGAACCAAAGAGTTTAAATTCCTGCTTTATCCACAATGATAAAGTTGAGCGCAAACAATTTATCATGATTGGATGCAATAACCCAGAAGCTACAAAGCATACTAAAGTATTTTCTTTCACTGTTTTTTTTATAGGACTGGGCTTTTCTGCCTACCAGATGTCACAACAAAGCCAGTGGAATGCCCTGCATTGAAACCTGGTTGTGAAATCCCTGAAGTCCTGAGAGAGGAGCCTGTTACTAAACCTCCCAGCCAGGCTTCACATCATAGACCAAAGGATGAAAACACGCTCCCTGAAAATGACCCACTAGCTGCCCATCTCCCTGCCCCTCTGCCCACACCAGTGCCCGCCGGGCAGGCTCCATACCCTCCATATTTTGAAGGAGCTCCCTTCCCTCAGCCCATTTGGGTGCGCCACAGCTATGGTCAATGGGTACCTCAGCCACCTCCGCGAACCATTAAGAGGAAGAAGAGGCGGACCCGAGAGCCCGGGCAGATGACCATGAGCACCATCAGGCTCCGCCCACGGCAGGTGTTGTGCGAGAAGTGTAAGAACACACTGAACAGTGACGAGGACAGTAAGGACGGGATGCCCACAACCAAGGCTTCCAGGAAAGAGAACGCGCCACAGAGCGATGAAGACTCCAAAGACGGGTCTGTGAAGTTGGCCAGGAAAGAGGATGCAGATGCCACCAAGGATAACAATAAGAGGCGGGAGAACGGCCCCACCGGCTATGACAGCAAGCGGCTCCGGAAGGACAAGAGGGATGAGGAACCAAAGTTCCCTGCAGTGGACATCATTCCCCACAGCCCGGTCATCAAGATATCCTACAGCACTCCGCAGGGCAAGGGCGAGGTCATGAAGATCCCAGCTCGGGTCCACGGCTCTGTCAAGCCCTTCTGCCCCAAGCAGCTGATGCAAAATGGCCTAAGAGGCCAGCAGGGCAAGGTGCCCGAGCCCACCACCTTAACCCAGACCCAGGAGCAGCGCCACATCCTGGATGCCACCAGGACGGGCCTGACCGTGTCCATTCCCAAACTCAAGCTCCCCAGGCCCCCAACAGCCAGCCTGGACCTCCCCTCCCCCAAGATCCGAGTGAGGACCCTGGGGGACGGAGAGGACAGCCTGACTGTGTACAATGCGGAGCTGGTAGAGGGGCAGAGCAGAAAGAGCCTCAGGGTGCCGGTACCTGGTCCCCTGCCCCAATCAGAGGACTCTGGGGAGAAGACCCCCATGGAGCTGTGGTCAGGGAGTTCTGGAGAGGAGGCAGACCGAGGTCAAAGTGACCTTGCGCTGCTCATCAACCTCCGCAAGAGGAAGGCGGACTCCTCCAGCCTGTCCGTGTGCAGCACAGACAGTCTAGACGAATCAAAATCCTTCAGCTCAGATGGCACGTCCCCAGAGCTGTGCGACCTAGCGCCCGGCGAGCACATCTCCTCCATGTCCTCCTCGATCTCACGAGACAACAGCAAGACTGTGCCGCCACTCACCGTGCGCCTGCACACACGCAGCATGACCAAGTGCGTGACGGAGGAGGGCCATGCGGTGGCCGTGGGAGACGTGGTGTGGGGGAAGATCCATGGGTTCCCCTGGTGGCCGGCGAGGGTGCTCAGCATCAGCGGCAGCCGCAAAGAGGAGTCTAACTGTGAGGCCCAGTGGCCAGAGGCCAAGGTGGCCTGGTTCGGCTCGCCCACTACCTCCCAGCTCTCCGTTGCCAAACTCTCCCCCTTCCGGGAGTTCTTCAGGTCGCGTTTCAACCGCAAGAAGAAAGGGATGTACCGGCGAGCCATCGTGGAAGCTGCCAAGGCTGTGGGCCACATGAGCCCCGAGATAACCTCGCTACTCACCTCTCACTGCGAAACGTAGGTGAGTCCACAACACTCAGACCATTTGAGAGTTTGTTCACTTAATACACTATTCCGGTACCTTGGATTAAGGATACATGCTGAGCGTTCTTCAGGCAAAATACTTTGAATGTCTAAAATACGTTTTTGCTTACCTCGAACATACAGGCATGGAAATGTTGTATAGTGAAATATTCTTAATTGAAGTTTTTGGGGTTGTACGACAAGGTGACATACAGTATTTGCTTAAAGAATGTTTGGCATTTTTACAACTAACTAAGCAGGGCCCGGTTTCCCGATAGTGATGGAACTTAAGCTTACAAGTATTTTAACGATGCATTGTTCTTATAACGGCCGTAAGATGTCACATGCATTTCCCGAAACACCACGTAGAGAAAACGTTCACCAGATTAGAATTATTCCAAGACGGGTCAACTACTGAAGACGGGTCAACTCTTATAGAGATATTATCACCTGGCTGCAAAAATTGAGTCTGCTTATTCTAATGCTTAGCCTACCCTATAATAATGCACTAGTTCATAGATTTGTCTTGAATAAATAGGTATTCAACCCCTTTGTAATGGCAAGCCTAAATAAGTTCAGGAGTAAAAATGTGCTAAACAAGTCACATAATAAGTTACATGGACTCACTCTGTGTCAAACACAGATTCAACCACATAGACCAGGGAGGTTTTCCAATGCCTCGCAAAGAAGGGCACCTATTGGTAGATGGGTAAAAATAAATAAATAATGCAGACATATTCCTTTGAGCATGGTGAAGTTATTAATTACACTTTGGATGGTGTATCAATACACCCAGTCACTACAAAGATACATGCGTCCTTCCTAACTCAGTTGCCGGAGAGGAAGGAAACCGCTCAGGGATTTCACCAATGGTGACTTTTAAACATTTAGAGTTTAATGGCTGTGATAGGAGAAAACTGAGGATGAATCAACAACATTGTAGTTACTCCACAATACTAACTGTAGAATCATGACAATCGCAATACATATCGCGTCAACACCTAAGTACGTGATCGTATTGTGACTTCCCTGGCAATTCCCAGCCCTATAAATAATGAGCGTTTTTAAGTGCAACTTTAGTTACAATGGTTTTGGGGAAACGGCTCAGAGATTTAACGATGCTCCTACAAAGTTTCTAACGATGAACTAAGCTGGGAAGTAGGGCTGTTAGATGGTTCCTTACCCTTACTATAGTCTATGAGCCAGGACTGTTATCTGCACCTCTGATTTATTTGGAACTCTGTAGCTCAGTTGGTAGAGCATGATGCTTGCAATGTCAGGATGGGGGGTTTGAATCCCGTGACCACCCATATGTAAAAACTTTATGCACGCATGACTGTAAGTCGTTTTGGGAAAAGCGTCTGCTAAATGGCATATTATATTACTTTAAACAGCCATTAAAAACAGGTTATTTTAGCCACAGCTAGCTATAAATCAATGGGAGTTTAACCAAATCACCATTTCAGTAACGTCACACCAAGTAAATGAGTTGATTTCAGTTGATTTGGCCATGAAATATTAGAAAAGTGCACATTTGCACCCATCAGTCCGGTTGATTTTTAGCTAGCGGTGGCTAAAGTTAGCTGAAGTTTAATGACTGTGTAAAGAAATCTGAACCATAAATTAGTTTATCATGGCTCATAGACTGCTTTCAGGGTAGGGAACCATGTAACATTAGTTAGTTGTAAAATACAAAACGTATCCTTTTAAGTTTCATGATTTTGGTTGACTGAACCCAGGGACTTTGGTCTCAGCCTGCCTACCCCTAGTTGTCATAGAACATTCTTAGGGCTGATCATATACATCAAAAGCACAAGTCCTTGTTCCCCTGGTATCCGTTTGTTGATTGTGTGGAATCAGACCCCATGTAGCCAAGCACCAGGCCCTTCACACACACCTAGGTTAAATATTGTCTCAGGGTGATATGAGACTGCCAGACAGCTCCCAGTACCACTGTTTGCTGTGGTGAAGCCTCAGTAGCCATGTGAAGGTACGTGTACTGAGCTCTGTTCATAATGCACACCAGAAGCTTTTGAGCATGCCACTCTCACTCATGATGGAAATAGTTTTTGCCATGTCAGCTGTCCAGAGATTTCAAGCGTGACTTCTGAAAGTTAAGACCTTGTCTTGGGTTCACTTAGAAATGTTCTATCTTGAATGGTGAAGTAAGAATCCATCTATTCTACATGCATAACTCTCCCAGTGCAAAGTCTAGGCCTGCAGTTAGAATGTCCCTCCATGGGAAACCATACTGCCATTATTTGCTCAATCTCATTACTCTGTTTGTTCTTTCTTTCTCCCTCTCTCGCCCCTCTCTCTCTCTCCCCCATCTCTTTCTCGCTTGCTTGCTCTCTGTCTCTCGCTCTCTCTCTCTGTAGAGTCTGAAGACTGAAGAATGGTCTTCTCTCAGAGGTTGCGGAACTCTCAGACTCTTGAGTCAACTATCCCCAGGAGAGAGAGGGAGCGTGTGCAGTTTCCACAATCACTATTTATACAGCGTTTTTCCTCCACATGGCTGGAGGAAAATGGCCGCTCAGGTGGAGTGTTGTTGACTGGATAAGGGAGCAAGAAAGGCCAATTTTGAGGCATCTCATGGACAAGACAGAACAATTCCTCAATTTCTTTATTTTTTAGATGTAACCATATTTCAATAGAACTGAATAGCAACACACTACAAATAAGAATGTATTTATTATCTGTAACCATTTATTATCCATAACGATTTAAGTCTCCATACTGCTGCTTTTGTTCCTCTCGTTCGATTAGTCGTGAAGCGGTTCAACGACAACCAGTCAGAGGGCCTTGTCAGGTCTTTTCAGTCCCAGTGCCATCCTCATTGGAAGCCCAGCAACTATTTTCAAATAGACCAGGAAATGTATATCCGCAACATTTCTGGTGAAAAGTCTTACTCTAAGGGCTTTACTTTCCAAATATGAAAATGTGAAACTGTTCCATCCAGAGATAGTACTGTAGTTTTTTCTATCATACAGTGTTTCATCCTTGTAGCCTTCTTCAGCATTGCTAGTTGGATATGTCGATGTAACGTTATTTATACATTTTTCAAACGTTTGTCTCTCTTCCATTTCATTTTGGTTTGAATACTTTAGAAGTGTGGTATGTATCGGTCACTGCAATCCATGAGTTAATTTCTACTCACTTTAATTATTTAATGTGTCATTTTAAGACAAGCACTTTATCTTTACCTTGGTGGCCTGCTGTAAGCTCATTGTCCTAACACTAACTGGAGTTACAGCGCTGACAGGCAGCGGGAGTTCAAATGTCCCACGGTTGACTATCCATGGCTTTGGAGATTACCTTTTTAAAGTTTTGGGACGCCAGAGATTGATCCTTTCAGTCGTGGTTGTGTACACTGTATTCTTGCATTTTTGAGTCCGGTGTGTCTTTTGTACATTATCTCAACCCACCCCAGTTCTATCCCCATCAAATGTTTCCACTGGAGAAAGTGGACAAAAGTGTCAAACACTATGCATCAATTAAAGCTTTATAGTCACTCAGAAATGCTGTAAGAATACTGTAAGTTCAACTCTTTGAGTGTGCGTGTGAAGGGGTGGGAGAAATAGGTGGCTGCTCACTACTGGCTACAGGACCTGAGTTTGGAGATGGAGAGACTGCAGGATCGACCTTTATTGACCTTAGTTGAAAGCAGTACTTTTGGAAAGTAGGGGGCAGGGAGGGAAGGCAGAGGCAGGACATACTTTTGGCCATGTAGTGTATGTGGACACCCTTCAAATTAGTGTATTTAGCTATTTCAGCCACACCCGTTGCTGACAGGTGTATAAAATTGAGCACACAGCCATGCAATCTCCATAGACAAACATTGGTAGTAGAATGGCCTTACTGAAGAGCTCAGTGACTTTCGACGTGGCACCGTCATAGAATGCCACCTTTCTAGCAAGTTATTTAATCAAATTTCTGCCCTGCTAGAGCTGCCCCGGTCAACTGCAAGTGCTGTTATTGTGAAGTGGGAACGTCTAGGAGCAACAACGGCTCAGCCGCGATGTGGTAGGCCACACAAGCTCACAGAACGGGACCGCTGAAGCACACAGCGCATACAAATCGTGTGTCCTCGGTTGCAACACTCACTACCGACTTCCAAACTGCCTCTGGAAGCAATGTCAGCACAATAACTGTTTGTCGGGAGCTTCATGAAATGGGTTTCCATGGCCTAGCAGCTGCACACAAGCCTAAGATCACCATGTGCAATGCCAAGCGTCTGCTGGAGTGGTGTAAAGCTCGCTGCCATTGGATTCTGGAGCAGTGGAAACAGGTTTTCTGGAGTGATGAATCACGCTTCACCATCTGGCAGTCCGATGGGTGAATCTGGGTTTGGCGGGTGCCAGGAGAATGCTACCTGTCCGAATGCATAGTACCAACTGTAAAGTTTGGTGGAGGAGGAATAATGGTCTGGGGCTGTTTTTCATGGTTCGTGAAGGGAAATCTTAACGCTACAGGATCATTCTAGATGATTCTGTGCTTCCAACATTGTGTCAACAGTTTGGGGAAGGCCCTTTCGTGTTTCAGCAGGACAATGCCCCCGTGCCCAAAGCGAGGTGAATACAGAAATGGTTTGTCGAGATCGGTGTGGAAGAACTTGACGGGCCTACACAGAGCCCAGACCTCAACCCCATCTAACACCTTTGGGATGAATTGGAACGCCAACTGCGAGCCAGGCCAAATCGACCAACATCAGTGCTCGACTTCAGTAATGCTCGTGGCTGAATGGAAGCAAGTGCCTGCAGCAGTGTTCCAACATCTAGTGGAAATCCTTCCCCAGAAAAGTGGAGGGTGTTATAGCAGCAAAGGGGGGACCAACTCCATATTAATGGCCATGATTTTGGAATGCGATGTTCGACGAGCATGTGTCCACATACTTTTGGCCATGTAGTGTAGGTAGTTCAGTAGGCACCAAACGGAAGAAAACAGGCAAGGACTACTTGTACTTGTCCAATAAGAAATTGATCATTTTAGTTT